GAAATTTTAAAGTTTGGGAAACTTGAGTATTGGAAAATTTAGGAACTGGGAAATGATAAATTTGGGGAATCCAGAAAGTGGGGAATTTCAAAATTTGGAGCATTCAGAAAGTGGAAAATTTGAGAAATTCATAAATTTGTAAATTCGGAACTTTAGAAATTCATAAATTCGAAACTTTCTAAAATAAAAATTCTGCCAACGAAGAATCTGCATACATCACAATCGCGTTTAATCCGTTTCAGTAGACACTCAATAACGTAGAAGCTGTTTAGAATTACAAAAGTTTCACAGGGTTGCTGGATGGTCTGCCAACGCGTTAAGTTAGCATCATAAACGACTGCACTATAGCTTCGTGGCGCCGGTCTTCCGGAGGACCATTTGGTATCTATAAGGACGGCGATGGCAAGAAGCATCGACTGAGTGACTATTCTTCGACTTCAATTCCGAAGCACTCTGCTACTCTTCGAGATATTCTTGCCTTACTTCACTAGTGGACGAAAGAGGAACGTTCTTCCCATAGAAACCGAACGACGGGCCTAAATGTGGACGCTGTATAGATTTCTCTATAGCAACTTCCAACGAAAACCAGTCTAAGCGACAGAGTAACCAAAAACAAATATAAAAATTCTTACAAAATATTGCACATCGATTTCAACCAAGTATAGTTCCCTACAACTACCAAATATTCTTCCAGAAACTCGACCCCATCCTACCTTAACTAAGTGCAAGGCTATCCAATCTCTTAATGAAACTTTTACGACCCTTCGTTATTAACTTCTCTCCCTACTTTTTCACCACGTTTACAACCTTTATTTAAAAAAAATACACATTCTCCATCAAGCAAAACTTAAACCATCCCCGTCGAATCGAACCAAATCAGGAAAGCTCGCACCGCTTCCATCGTCAAACACTCCGTTTCCTCCTTCTCGAACCTCGTCCGTCGCATTTTATTACGTTTCAAAGTAATTTTTACCCTCTTTCCCATCTCCCCATCCCTCCTCCCCTTTGTTCCCGGGCATTATTAATTTAACATCGTCTCGACGCGACTTTAATTCGGTAATTTCCGTCGATGGAGCGTCATCGTGCACGGCCGGAGGAGCTCGGTTACTATTTAATGTCGCGAGGGAGACGAAGGAAAACAGCTACAATGCGGCACACAGAAAGTGGTAAATTTTCCGAGCGGCTGCACTCTCGAGCCGGTAATAATTCCCGCGATCGATAATCTCATCAGTGAACTTTTACAATCTCGTCGTAGCGGTACGCTCTCCGTGGACGCGAAGGGTCGTGGCGAGGTGGAGGGAAATGGTACACCCAGGGCAAACGAGGGAGGATGGGATGAAAGCGCAACGGTACACGTGGACGCATTCCGTACACGTTCCTCGAGTTTATCTCGGAAAAGTGGGACTGACATATTGGGATCGTTCTGGCCGTCTAGTCGCATTTATGTACCCTCCGTGTTGGCGTGCCGCGCCAAAATGATCGTCCTCCTTTTTCTTGCCCGCCTTCTATTTGCTCTTCGCCGACTTCGAGCCTCGCTTTTTCATCCCCCTCGAACGCGGGAATTACGAATCGGGCGAAATTGCACGGTTCCCTTTTGTCCTCGGTAAATATCCAGTTCATGAACGATTTTTACGGAATTCTTCGGAGGTCGATACCTCTCTTCCGGAATTCTTAATCGAGAATAGAAAAATGGAGGAGGTTGTGTATGTACGTAAGGTGTCTTCAGTAAGAGAGAAAGAATGTGGCAATGTTAATGCCCGTGATTGTCGCAAAATCAACTTTAATTCAAAACCTTCTCGAAAGACCACCCAGTTATACTGGGACTAGTGAAGTGGTTACAATTTGAACTGGTTGCTCCTTGGTGATTGTTGGACGAACGAATCTCGACGTCGTCCCTCGGACGTCCGTGGGAGAGTTTTTCGTTAGAGCACGCTGATTGGTTAAATAGTTAACCATTACATTTACCAATCAGGGTGTCTAATAACGTCTTCACCGCCCTTCCAGTGCGCCCTTAGCGCGCTGTCACCTTGGAAGGGTGGGAGACGGCCGCGTGGAGTGGGCGGAAAGTCCCAAAAAGTTGGAATTTCCTCCGGATGACTCATCGGCAAGCGTACAGGTAGATGTGCCGTTCGGAAATTCGTGGTTTATGGCATGTTCGTAGGCTATTGAGCGCCAGGGACAGAAATGACTAAAAATCCAACAAGCAATTCTAGCGACCCTCGCCAGGTTGTAATTAGACACGTACAAGCAGTAAACGGAAATCCTCAACTCAAAAATAACCGTTGCCGTTCGATCGTGCCATAAACCGTGCCTGTGAAGACCGAACAGGCAAAATAAATCATTTCTTCGAAAGAAAGAATTCCTGTGATAGAGTAAATCTTTTCTTGGGAAGAAAGAATTTTCTTTCCAATTTTACCTCGATTGTTGTCTACTTCATACGGTGTGAAGGTATAGTAGAATGAAATTAAAGAGCACGAGATGAAAAATGTATAAAATCGTCGGGTAGAGTGAATGGAACTAGTGGATCGTACTCTGTGCGCAACGATTACCTGGAAATAGCCGTCGATAGACCGTGGCAATAATCCAGAGAGCAATATTTAATCATTAACGGAGCAACGTGTTACGTGGCGGTAGTTCAGCGTGAAACGGACCTGAGAATCCTCTTGGGGATGAACCGATAAGCATATTAACGGACGTTACGACAGATAACGTCAGGGAAGAAACTCGATGAAGCGTCTATCGATCCTCTGTATATCCATCGTGAGATGATGACCCCGTTATACCGTGGCCTAATGTTTCATCGAGAAGCTCATTAGGTGAATCTGGGTTCTAACTTCCCCTTGGCTAATTAACTTGCTCGATCTTTTCTTGCCACTTTTCACCGAACAAACTTTCTTCAACTTTACGATCCTCGTCTTTTTTTGTCACCCGAGATATTCAACTATCACCTTCGATCTATAACTGTTCGAAACTTTATTAATAATCTCACGTCAGAGGGTATGTGTGTGTATATATATAGAGTAAGTTCAAAGGAGATTCTGATTTTTGTTGCAGGTGTCGGATGAAGCAATGGAGAAGAGACTTGCCTCCAACTTCAGTGATAATCACGTTCCACAACGAAGCACGATCGACGTTGCTCAGAACCGTAGTCAGGTATACGATATTCCAAGTTACAGTATCGATCGAAACCTCCCATTAACCCTTATCTCGTGTATCATTAACTCCTCGAACTTTCGAACAAATTTGATTTTTCCCAATTTTCTTACACGACGTGTCTCTCAAATTTTGCAATTACGCGTCGATCCGTCGCAGAAGAATAACGCACGAGAGTTCTCGAAGAGAAACTGTATTTCCGCGTGCACGCGCGCGAGCTTCGAATAACGTTGAAACAATGAAACGAAAAATACGAGGCGAGAAAAAAGAAGGATCGCGGGGGATGAATGATCGAGCTGGCGCTCACGTCGAATGAGAGGCCGACGAATGCGAGGATAGAAATTCAACGGAACGAGATTAATATTTCCTCGTTGATCGCGACCGACCGGCTAAATTCCCACGCGTGCAACGATCGTGTGCAACGCGATGCAGTTTCGTGGAAAAACGCGAGAAAATTCCGGGTTCAGCGGTCGAAGGAACGATGGAATTTTCTAATCGACGTTCCATCCTACCGCGCCCATTACACCCGCGTTATGATAAATCACGCGTGAAATTCGAATGACCGACGCTGGACTTGCTATCGATACATTGGAGGAGGTGTCGACCTTTAAGTTCATCTTTTTCTCCTTGGAAATAGCGAAAAAAGTATTTTTTACTAGACCATTAAATTTAAAAAAAAATGTCGCGCTTGACCTTTAAATCGATTCTTCCCAAGTAATTTTTTTATCGTATCGCTAAATCGTCGACTGCTGCTTATCGATATTACAAAAAAAAAAACGCGATGCTTAACCTTTAAACTGATTCTTCGGAGGTAATTTTTTGCTGAAAAGTGTCAAATGAATAACGCACACGAGGCGAATTAAATATTAATGTCACCTATCTGTTACATCCTACGCTATCTCTTAATTTATTCACGAATCTCTTGTCCTCGGGTAACACATTCGTCAGGCGCGTCTTTATGTTCGAGAAATTAAGAGGCACGCATATTTGTGCATAATATTATCGTAACTTCGTTCGACCGACGTTTAATCAATCCGAGAAGAGATTAAAGTAAGACGTTCGTAACACCTCCGTTGTCGCGGAGACGATATCGAGAGTTTCGCAAAACCGAAACGTCATTTCCTTCGTTTTCTCCCGCAAACAAAATCGAATCGAAGATTTCCCCTCGGCGAACGTCGCCGTGGAGCTAATTGAAACACTTTTCCACGGCCGTAACGTCACGCGACACGAACGAGATTACCTTCACCGCGAAAGGAATTCATTTTCTTTCTTACGCAGAGTTTCTCCGCGCGTCGAAGAGGAGGTCGAAGAAGGCCGCGGAGAAACTTACTTAGGGAAACATTATTTAAGGATCGTTGCCGCATTCGAGTTACACCTCGAGGCTGGGTTACGCCACTCGATGGAATTAGAATCGTTTAATTTCTGCACGGAAGTGTTCTTTTTCCGCCGCTATAATCACGCAACCGAGAACACGATACGTAAGAATGCCGCGGAATTGTTTTTCCTAATTTGATTTCAGCGTGCTGAACAGGAGTCCGGAGCACCTGATCAAGGAAATTATTCTGGTGGATGACTTCAGCGATCATCGTAAGCGATTTCACATTTTTCCATAACTACCGTTCCATGCAAAATGTACTCCAGATCGTTTCGTATTCAAATATCCAGTCGTTCTACCAAGATTCCTCGCGTCCAAATGTATAATTCCGCTGGAATTGAATATTTTTCGATCCTGATTCCTCCGGTCGGAAAGATTTTTATATCCTCTTAAAGTTTCTCAAGGATAGTTTCAAAGTCGTTGCAACACACTTTCTAGTCGTTCGTTGAAAGAAGACAGAAAAGTGTTCAATTTGAACGGAGTTTCTTTGGAGAATTTTAAATAAAGAAAGATCAGAGAAGAATAGAGAAGACTCCTTCGGATACGAAGTCTTTGATTCTTCGCAAGCTTGCAAAGCGACAGGGTGCATCGAACCGAGAGAGGCGACAATTCACCTACCTTTTTTTGCAGCGGAGGACGGTGAAGAGCTATCGAGGATACACAAAGTGCGAGTGATACGCAACGAGAAGAGGGAGGGTTTGATGAGGTCGAGGGTGCGAGGCGCGGATGCAGCCACCGCCACCGTGTTAACTTTCCTCGATTCGCATTGTGAGTGCAACGCCGACTGGCTAGAGCCCCTTTTGGAGAGGGTGGCTGAGGATCCTACGAGAGTCGTGTGCCCAGTCATCGACGTCATAAGCATGGACACCTTCCAATACATCGGTATTGTTGCTGCCTATCGCCTTTTTCAACTGTCTCGTCGATTTTGCAAATTAACTTTAACCCTTTCGCTGCTCTCGATGGCCATAGACATTCAGTGGTGATCGATCGAGTGTCTTTAGGCACTTTCGTGTTCACGTATCATTTAGTTTACTCATGTTAATGCTGCCACTGAATTGCACACAGCGAGTGCTTTACCTTCCACCGTGCAATAGTCAAAGGGTTAATCCTACAGAAACACTATTCTCTGGAAATTTAGATTCACACCGCGTCCAAATCATTCTCAAAAATGTCCAAAGACAAGAAAATCTCTCTCTTCACCCACCGTCCAACAGTCAAAGGGTTAACCCCATAAAAACCCCAATTCTCCACAAATTTAAATTCCCACCGCGTTCAAATTTCTCTGAAAAATTTCCAAAGATATCAGAACCTCTCCCTTCACGCACGAAAGTACAGAAGGAAATTCTCGAATTGTCCAGGAGCGTCGGCAGACCTGAGGGGTGGTTTCGACTGGAGTCTGGTGTTCAAATGGGAATACCTTAGCCAGATCGAGAGACAGGCGAGGCAAAAGGATCCGACACAGGCGATCAGGACTCCAATGATCGCCGGTGGCCTGTTCGTGATCAACAAAGCGTACTTCGAGAAACTGGGCAAGTACGACACTCAGATGGACGTGTGGGGCGGCGAGAATCTCGGTGAGAATGCTCGATCTCTCTTCTTGTCCGGCCGCGACGAAAATTTGCCGAACGTGATTCGAGTTCTGGGCCATGGTTCTGGCTTTCAGAGATATCGTTCCGGGTGTGGCAATGCGGCGGCAACCTCGAGATTATTCCGTGCTCGCGCGTCGGCCACGTGTTTCGAAAACGCCACCCGTACTCGTTCCCCGGGGGCAGCGGCAACGTTTTCGCTCGAAACACCAGACGAGCGGCCGAAGTGTGGATGGACGATTACAAACAGTTCTACTACAACGCGGTGCCGCTGGCGCGTAACATCCCTTACGGAAAGTGAGTACAACACGCTTGTTTGATCCCGTTTTGCGCCACGTTTATCGGTCAGAGGTACTGTATGAAACGCTATACCACCGTGGGAGTTGCGGGAAAATTAAATGGACACGGTCGTGCTCTGCGTTCGTCCAGAATTTTATTTTACCCTTTAGCGGTGCGTTCAACACGACCAAGTGTGTACCTTGTTTTCACGGAGAAAATTGATCGTGTCGTATCGAACGTTTTGAAAAGAAAAAAAGAGTTAGCAATTTCAGGAATTTTTTATCTCTGTGTTCGATCGAATTTAAACGTGGAAAGAATTAGTGGCTGTTGATGTTAATTAGTAGGTGGACTAAAATTTCGTTTAATTTTTAATTTTCCGTCTGCACTGTCGGGCGAGAAAATTAATTAAAAATATCAATCTCCCGCTAGTCACTCGACGTTACGAAGCAAAGGGTTAAACGCTACAAATTTAAGCACACCCTCCTTCGACCAACGGACACAACAATTTAACGAACATCTAAATCAAACACCAAAGTACACGGAACAACCTACATAAATTAAGCCCCCCAGGAACCAACAGGAACAGTATCGACACTCGAAACAATCACGCGACACGTTACGCGGCCCGTGCACACGGGTAAAATCTATTCATTGCCGTAAAGTTTTCACCGGGACGAAGTTTCTTTCCTCCGACGTGGATCGTTTATCACGAGCTAATTTCTGGCCCGTCGTTCGCGCCGCGAGAGAGTGAACGAGGAGGAGGTCTGGAAGTGGAGGAGAAAAAGCTCGATTTACGGTCCGCGAACAGCCCGAAATACCGATAGTCGATTTCATTAAAACGCGTCAGCAGCGCACGTGAGCCGTATTAATAAAACGGCCGGGCGTCGTTTCTACACCGGTTGTTTCAGTATTCAAGACAGGATGGAGCTGAAGCGGAAATTGCATTGCAAGCCCTTCAGCTGGTATCTGAAAAACGTGTATCCCGAGCTGGTTATACCGACAAGCGAAGGAGGTCCCGGTGGATCGTTGAAACAGGGCACCGCTTGCCTGGACAGTATGGGCCACCTACTAGACGGGAACGTGGGACTTTATCCGTGTCACGACACCGGCGGCAACCAAGTAAGTAACGCGGTGTGTTCGTTATTCATCCTCTGTCGCTCTTGTATTCGTAAACTGGTCCGCGAGACGGACGATCCTTCCGTTCAAATAAAACCACCCCTTCGCACGCGCGTCGTCGTCGTCTTCCTTTCTGGGTGTATTATTGTTAAAGCTTTCACTTTGTCACACGGTCGACCAGCTGCGTTACTTTTCCGTGCTTCTTTTCTGCATCTATTTCTTTTTAATCAACTTTTCCTCGTTTACCTGGAGGTCTTCCGTGTGCGTTTATGCGGGTGTATTATTGTTAAAGCTTTCACTTTGTCACACGGTCGACCAGCTGCGTTACTTTTCCGTGCCTCTTTTCTGCATCTATTTCTTTTTAATCAACTTTTCCTCGTTTACCTGGAGGAGGTTTATCCTTACAACGCCTTTCTGGTGCCTGCTTCAATGGTAATTCACGTGCCATAACGTCGTCGAATTTTCCCTTGGAACTTTTACCCACGGGGTCGACCGACTGAAATTGTGACTTTCGGTTTCTCTGTAAAATTGGCACATTTTTACGAATATAGAGTCTTTGGAGGGAACTGCTAAACGCGTCAGAGACGCCACGTTGTAACATCTAAGAATGGAATTCAGATTTTCATTCGACGTCCACGACGCGAGGATTATTAATCCGTGTATTCAATTGTTGCGTTTCAATTATCGCGCCGGTGGATTCACGGATCGATCGTGGGAGGAGGGTTTTTACAAGGGAAGCTCTCGGAGGATTAAGGAAAGTACACGGGTTACGAAGATGGTTTGTGTCTCTCCGCTTTGTTTCGTTTCAGTTCGTTGTTTGAGGAGGATGAATTGATAGGGCTGAATTTGTCAAGTGTTGTGCAGGGTGAAGCTGAGTAAATCTTGTCCTTATTACAATATTAGAGAAATAAAGTATTCCGGGAGTAATTTAATTTTTCTGTATGCGAGGGTGTCGAGGACACTCCGAGACAGATCTCCCTTTTTCTTTCTAATGGATAGTGTATTTTTCAATGACTTTCAGTGCCTCTAATCACTGAATTCGTCTGAGTTTGAGCTAAACTTGCGCATCTTCCACTTTTCCTAACAAAATTTCTGATAAGGCAAGATTGAATTTCCTCACCCTGCACATTACTCGAACAAAATTCGCAGAGAAGCATACGTAGTTACCACCTTCTTATCAACCTCTACTATCGGAACTACCAAAAAAACCATGAAATTTCTTTCAGGAATGGGGCCTAACGAAGGACGGCCTGATCAAGCACCACGACCTCTGCCTAACACTTCCGGTGTACGCGAAAGGCACCACGTTACTAATGCAAATCTGCGACGGCAGCCAAAACCAAAAATGGAGGCACCTCGAGGGCGGTCTGATCCGCCATTCAAGGATCCCGGTGTGCGTGGACTCGAGACATCACGCGCAGAGAGGCATCACCGCGGAGAAATGCGACTCGAACGCCGAGACGCAGAGGTGGCACCTGTACAACCATAATCACTAGCTCGCGAGGACGACCAACGTCTCGTGAAGATTGCGTTGCCGCCGTCACTCGCGGAGGACTGTAGGGGTGCAGTATCTGTTACGAAGAAGACGGGTCGATCTGTTCAGGGAGAGCGATCTGATCGATCGAAGATCGAGGCTGCTCGATCGTACCCGTCGATGAACTTCGACGATCCTCGTCTACGTTTCGCCGAATAATTCTAGGACCGGGGGGCTCCTCCGTACCAAAAATAGGAAATCGACGAGGGAAGATAGAGGGAACGTTATTGATCTCTCGATTTTTTCCTCGGTTCCTGCGTAATAAATGGACCTTCTTGACGAGGCGTAGAATCGGAAACGATACGATTCTATTGGGAGTGGTGATAGAGTTATCGTTCGATGTACTCTCGGTTATATGCATTTGATGGAACTTATTTGAGAAGAAGGAGAATTGTGGATGAACGTGGAATTGAATTCCTGTTTTTACGTTTTTTTTTTTTTTTTCGAGTATTGTAGTGGAAAGGAAGAGGTTGTCTGTTGTTTTTTTTTCTTGCTGTTTGTCTATTTTAAGTATAAACGAAAAAGTGATACGACGAGAGGATTTCGAGGAGAATGGAAGAAGAAGTTCACCCTTTGCCCGTAAAAGCGTGACAAGGCAAAGGGTTCATTTTTATCAATGGCTGTTTTCCAAGCGTTTTCATTCCGGTGCATTTACATTTAAACCTCGGTGATCTCAAACGACGTCATTTCGGAATTTCACTAGGTAGAGGATGAATGAAAAATCAATGTATCGAGGGGGAAAGATGGAAAAAAATACTCCGACGTATATAATTTTAAGCGAACTCTCGACTCTTTTACCGTTCGAATATCGTTCAAAGAACATCGAAACGTTTACCGCCAAGCCATTCGTTCGAAAATGATGGACGTTTTACCAGCGTTGTTTCCGCGAGAAGAAAAAATGAAACACGATTAAAAAAAAAAAAACAAAAAGAAAATTAAAAAAAAGGAAACAATATGGTTTTATCAATTCCCCCCTATTTTCACGGCCTTATTAAACGAATAATAAAGAAATACAAAAAAAAAAGGAACACCTGTTTCTAAATCAACTCTTTTTTCTTACAATTAACTGAACACTAAAGGAACACACACATATGCACACACGGTATAACGTGGCGCGTCGACATCGATCCAAACGCGTGCGCTACGATTCTCACAAAGAGATTTATTTTTCTATAATGAAAATTGTATACTTACTTGGTTGTGCGAATAGCTGGGAATTGCGGTGTACTCGCCTCGCGAAGACTCGACTTGTCGTAGATTTTGTCTCTTCTAGCCACACTGTCTTATTCCATTCGTTCTTCTTTTCACCGTCTAATTTCTGATAAGAAAGTTCATTTTTTTAAATAAAAAAGAAACATTTTCCACGGTAATTGCGTTGATTATAAATTATCCACGACGTGTCGAGTCTATGAAAAGACGAGGAAAAATGGTGCGACTACTATACAGCAATACGTAGCGAGAGAGAGTGAGAGAGAACGATCTTTTGTACACTGATACCTTCACTACGAAGATGATTTAACTACCGTCGTCTCGTATCCAAGCTGAACACGTATATATGTATACAAATGTTACGCTATCGAGTATTGTAAGCTTTTGTATGATATAAAACGCGCGTCCCCTAATCGCCTACACTCACGTTCGTAGTGTTTACGAAAATTCTGTATTATACATTCAGGAGAGAGAGAGAGGTTGTTTTTACTCTGAACATTAGTTAAGCTAAGCTATCAGATTTTGATCGAACTTGAAACTGGTGCGTTGTACATATTATATGGGTTTCGAAGATCTCGTTTGTCGAACAAGATTCCTATAAATATACATATTACCTTCTTGGCCGAGGGAAACATCACGATCCTCGGTGCATTCTATCTGCAATAATACGTCAAATGTGTCGAAGAATGTGCAACGATAACGTATGCATTTGCAATATTATTATATATAGCGTGTACCATTTATACGCTTCCCTCATAAATATTTGAATTGAAACACTTCAATCTCCATTTTTCTTTTTTTTTTTTCATTCGATCGTCACACGTGAAACACAGATAAATGTATTTACATCTGAACGAATTTTTTCCCAATCCCCGAAAGTATCCATCGAAGCTCCAAGACACTCTGATCGAACGGACAAGCTATCAACCGGATGGTGAAGAATGAAAGAAGAAGAGTTTGGCTCCCTTCGAAATTCCCCTGCTTCCTCCCGAACGACTCGCGCTGTAAATACTTGTACGCGATCGATTAATCGTCTGTCTCCCGTCCTAAGTGCGTCTCAAAAGTGAGCTCGTGGCGAACGAACGTTGCTCGCTGGTTTTTTCGTCGCCTGTTACGAGGCAACCGTACTCGCGTGCTGAACTGTAAATAACGCGTCTTCTATACGATATAAGTTGACGAGAAAAAAGATTTAAAAAAAAGAAAGAAACGTTGTACTTCCACTGAATCTGTAAGCTGTAAGATAACGAGAAAAGAATGAGCGACATTAACGTTTAAGAATTGAATAAGGCAGAAGTAAAAAGAAAAAAGAAATCGGACGCTCGAATACAATAAGGGATATACATTGCCTGTTGTACATTGAAAGGAATATTTCCGATTTCTCTATTGTATGTTATACGATACGTTGAATCCTTCTCATTAATCTCGTGTTCGTTAAACTATGAAGCTCCGAGTGGAGTGATCGATTGAATCCTGTTAAATATACCGGTTGCTTTTCGATTATTCGATCCTAATGTACTCGTTTAAGAGGATTAATACGTTGATGATTCTGTACGTGAAGAAAATGTTTCTGTAATATTCTAAGGCAACTCATGATTTCTCGTTTTTTAAAGTCTAATTTATCGATGGCTGTTAAGGGAAGTTTATTAACTACATTGAAATTGTAACGAATCTACAATTTCAGCTATTAAAAATCATCCTGGAAGATACAAATATATATATGGACGTTCGTTTTCAACTCCGAATACCTATATTCAAAGGTGTACACGTTGTATTTCTACGGTTCTGTATTTTGCAAATGTATCATACTAAACACCTGAGCGAAATATATATAAATATATACGACAGGTATATGCTTATATATATTTGAACATATATATGTTAAGGACGCGATATTATAGTACTTATAGGAACAAGGTTTTTTTAATAAAACGATGGATTTATTCCAGAAGCTTGTATTTGAATGTTTTTTCAAACAACAGTTTACCAACAGGCACCTTGCTTTATTTAAAACATGATATACAAACAAATTGGTTAACAATGATGTTAGAGATAAGTCTTGTAATTTACAGAGTAGTACTATGGTGGTGCACTACGTTTTTTTAATCCCTTTGTAACTTTTTTCTTGAATTCCTCCAAGTTTATATCACTCTTCTCTTCCTTTTTCTTCACAACCTTCTCTTCAGCAGGTATAAAGGCCTGTGCCCTGCGTTCCTGTCTCTTCTTCTCAGCCTCCTGGTGCCTCTCTTCCTGTTGCTTCCTTTTCCTGGCTCTCTTTTGATCTTCCTTCAAGAAATATTCTCCAGAAGCTATCATCTTGTCTAGCTTGCTCTCTTGTTGAGGAGGAGGGAATGGAGTATACGGTTTCTTCTCCTTCTTCTTCTTAGGCTGCTTCCTCTTACTGTTTTTGCTGGTGAAATTGGGCAAGAACCTCTCCCAATTTTCATTCTTTAATTTTGGATCTTTTGCCAATTCTCTCTTGATCATCAATGCTTTGATATTGTAAATTGGGTGGATATTTTTCATGGTATCTTCCACTATACGTCTGACTAGCTGCATACCTTTGTAAGGTCCTAATGTAGCCACTGTCTGTCCTTGGACAAGAACATAACAGTTTGTTAGTAATTCAATTGATTTTAAAGTGCATCCTTTTGGACCTATGAGCCTCTGACGTCTCTTGACAAATTTTTCTCTATTTCTGACTAAGGAAGATATTTTTATGATGTCTGCACCAATCTCATCTTGCAATACTCTGACAGCTTGCTCAAATGGGACAGATCTGGACATAAGCTTGATCATATCACGAGCTTTAACTATAATATAAGGATCCCATGTTCTTCTAGTGGTGCTCACTGTCATGCTACCCTCAATGAGATCCAATTCTGCAGTAATTGCATGCTTGTTCAAAGCTTTCGTAACCAATGGCCAGTGTTCTTTTAAATACTGTTCCCTGTATTTGGGGAACAAAGTCGCGAATGAACTTTCCTTCAATAAACGATGAGGATTGTCCTGGGGTGTAAAAGACGGAATTTCTAAGGACCAGGCATTGTCCACTGGTTCTGTTGTTTTGGGTACTTTGTCTCGTTCAGAATCACTCATTTCTTCGACAATTCTTTTCCGTTCTATCATTGCACTAAATGTTTAAATTCAGAGTACAATCTCTCGTGCATACTATACAACAGGTTATGTTCACTGCACGAAAGTAGAATCGATGTCTTTTGGTCACGAAGATACTGTTTTTACACGATGTTTATGGTAAAAATTACCGTATTTATTTACTGGATTGTCACACGTGATTTTTAGACGTGTTCGAACTAAGGTTATGTTATCGATTCTCTGTCTATAGTGATGCATAAACGTGACGTCATTGCCTGACCAAAGTAGCGGAAAATAGGCAGTCAGCCTACTCCAACAACTGTCGATAATGTAGCAGACTGATACAAGAAAATATTTCATATGGAAGTTATTTACGAGGATACTCCTTAATTTAAGCACAGAATTAATTGGAATTTTCTCAATTTTACAGTCTAGTAAGCAGTCCCTTAGCAATAATTATTCGAAATATGTAATTGTTATCGGGGCTTGAAAACATTAAAATTGAATGGTATTTCAACGAACGGAACATTAAAAATTGCGTATATTTTAATTGGAAGAGTTCTACTGCTGTCGAAAGATCATCAGCAGATCTACCCAAGCAATTCAGTATAATTAGTCGTGTTTATTACGAAGGACAACTGTTCCAGGTATTTAGCAGGAAAGAAATGAGTAAGATAAGGAAAGGAATATGGGTAGACAAGGATAGCATTAAACAAATGAGTAAGACAAGGAAAGGAACAGTGTTAGACAAGGATAGAGAATTTTGCAAAACAGAACTAACGCCATCTCGCGTTTTGGTGATCGGAACTACAACTTTTTAATAGGAACACATGATACAAACAGAGGTATTAGACAAGGAAAGCACTAGTGTGCGACAAGGACAGAGAGAGAAAGCTTCCTATTGGTCCGCGGACGGCCATACTCCGCCGCCTGCACGCTGCATTAGTCAGTCAGGGAAAAATCATTAATAACTCATTAATTAGGATGATTCTGTGAACTTTTAGAATTGAAGAATGCAGTGTGGACCTTTAGCTATTTTCACATATAGTTTTTAATGCAACAGACCCGTTAAATAATTAGTTATTAACAATTTTAATACGTGATGTCGGGAACGATACCGTTTACATTTATATACGTTTACAGTTTTTCATTAATAACTCATTAATTACGATGATTTTGTGAACTTTTAGGATTGAAGAATGTAGTGTGGACCCTTAGCTACTTTCACATATAATTCCTATTGCAGTAGACCGTTTCAATAATTAGTTATTAACAATTTTAGTACGCGATGTCGGAACCATACCGTTTACGTTTATATACGATTACGGTTTTTCAATAATTTCATAGCTTTCTAATAAATTCCCACGCAAGTAACTACATGCGACTGAAAGGTAACTCCCTTAGCTGTATTCTCATATAATTTTTATTTACATATTCGGTTTAGTTTAAGAGTTATCAATAATTATATGAGAGAGTCACCTATTCACCATACTCGAGTATAGTCAACTGTTATAAACAATTGCTAATATCTAATAAACCACACCACCTACTACTACAAAAATTCTTGGAGAATATAGATAAAAGTCCATTCTACATTCCTCATGCTTCAAAGTGCATAATCAATCATGTGTATTCGTGAAAATGATGAGCAATCCATACTCGTGAATGTGAGAAGAGTAGTACTCACCCAAATAATATTTAATATCTCGAAAACGATAAAGGATATGTTAATAAAAATTATATGAGAATGTAGCTCACGGAGTTGCCTTTCAGCTGCATATAGTTACTTGTATGGGAATTCATTAAACAGCTATGAAATTATTGAAAAACCATCAACGTATATAAATGTAAACGGTATCGTTCCCGACATCGGGTAATAAATTTTTAATAACTAATTATTTAAAGGGTCTATTGCATTAAAAACTGCATGTGAAAGTAGCTAAAGGTCCACACTACATTCTTCAATTCTAAAAGTTCACAGAATCATCCTAATTAACGAGTTATTAATGAAAATGGCGAGAAAGAGTTAAGCTCGAATGCGACGAGTGTAGTATGTACCCAAAGAATGTTTAATATCTCGCAAATTACGAGGAATATATTAATAAAAACTATATGAGAAACTAGCTAAAGGAATAGCCTTTCGGACGAATGTAGGAAACTGCATAAATTATTTGAGGAAAGTGACAAAATTAATGAAAAACCAGAAGGATGTGCGGCATCTCGTACTCAATTTGTCGACAACCCGTAATAAAATTGTTAATAACTAATTATTTAAAGGGTCTATTGCATTGAAAACTATCTGTGAATGTAGCTTAATGTCCACGCTACATTCTTCAATTCTAAAAGTTCACAGAATCATCCTAATTAATGAGTTATTAATGATTCTTCAGAGGACCTCGTGGCTGAGGCTCTGGGAGGCGGAGCATGGCGGCCCGCCAGCCAATAGGAAACGTTTTCTCTCTGTCCTTCTCGCACACTAGTGCTTTCTTTGTCTAATACCTCTGTTTATATCATGTGTTCCTATTAAAAAGTCGTAGTACCGATCACCAAACGCGAGATGGTGTTAGTTCTGTTTTGCAAAATTCTCTATCCTTGTCTAACACTATTTCTTTCCTTGTCTTACTCATTTGTTTAATGCTATCCTTGTCTACCCATATTCCTTTCCTTGTCTTACTTATTCCTCTTGTGCTAAATACCTGAAACAGTTATCATTCGAGATAAGCACGACTAGTGATACAACACTATCTTCCAATAAGAATTTCACAATAATTAATCACATAGAGTAACCAAAAATTTCTATATTTATCACTCAAATTCCCTACTACACATAGAAATTAAACAAAAATTTAGAAAAATAATAAAAATTATGATTTGAATAACTTAGAATGACAGACATGCTACAGAATAAAACTAACACTTAATGTATTTCTGTTTTTACAAATGGTTACAATATACCAGTATTATTTTGCAGTATTTTATAGTCTATTTCTCACTTACACACAACGTCCACTTTCTCTTACAAGTAACTAATTGTTTGAACAATATTTCAATTCAAAATGAAATAAACTAAGTCTGGAAATCATGAGGAAAGTTTTCATTCCTTTAATATTGCTTGTAGTTAGTAGATTGTAAAATAAAGTTTCTGGTTTATTTACGAGTACTTTAATTGTGCAATAATTACAGTTTCTTGTTAAATAACAATTTAGATGGCGATTTATAATTATTGGAAGTCTCATATAAAATTACTGCATGCTTTAACCAAATAAAATAGCTTAATCCGTTAATTTCGTAATGAATTAACAATTGCATGCAGCAGGTATTTTACAATTAATATTTATTATAAATAATTCATTCCTTTAACATTACTTATAGTGTATAGAGAGTAAAGTGAGGTTTTAGCTTTACTTTCATGTACTTTAATTATGGAATAATTAATGTTTCTCTATAATTAACAATTTGGATGATTGTTTATAATTATTGAAAGTCTTAAATAAAATTATCGTATGCTTACCTCAATAAAACTGCTTAATACAGTGATTCTGTATTGAATTAGCCATTGTATTCAATAGATAAGTCAGGAATTGTTAATAACTCTTATTAAAAATTAAACAAATTAATGTTTTCCTGTTATGAATTACAGATGGATCTTGCAGGACACCATGGAAATCAAGGAAAGGACTTTAACATCAGGAAAACTGAAGAAATGGAATTATTTATAAACAAATTAATTATTTATTGTAAGATAAATGTACTAAATGTATTTTACAAAAGGTTACAATATACCCGAATTGTTTTACAGCATTTTACAGTCTATTTCTTCCCTACAAACCCCTTTGTTCACATTCAATTGCAAATAACTCATTGTTTAAACAATATTTCATTGCAAAATTATATAAACAAAGTCCGGGAAACCGCCAGGAAGGCGTACATATAAAAAAAATGGAAAAAATCCCGAAATTCTAGCGAAAACTACGAAAATTGTGAAAAGGAATCGAAATTCGGTGTGAGAATACCCTACGGGTGCTAAAGTCCTCGAGAATTCCTGGAAATGACGTCATTTCTCGGAAATGACGAAATTTCCAAGAATCGAGGCGATTCCAAGAATTGACCAATGGACCTTTGAAACTTTCAGTTCTCGAGAATTCCTGGAATTTACGTCATTTCCGAGAAACGACGAAATTTCCAAGAATCGAGGCGATTCCAAGAATTGACCAATGGACCTTTGAAACTTTCAGTTCTCGAGAATTCCTGGAATTTACGTCATTTCCGAGAAACGACGAAATTTCCAAGAATCGAGGCGATTCCAAGAATTGACCAATGGACCTTTGAAACTTTCAGTTCTCGAGAATTCCTGGAATTTACGTCATTTCCGAGAAACGACGAAATTTCCAAGAATCGAGGCGATTCCAAGAATTGACCAATGGACCTTTGAAACTTTCAGTTCTCGAGAATTCCTGGAATTTTCGTCATTTCTTGGAAATTACCAAATTTCTGAGAATCCAGTCACTTCTAGGAAGAGACCTCCTATCACATCATGTTCGCCTATTAGAAAGTCGATTTTCGGCCGAAGTGTCTTCGAAAATTTCAGTTCTCGAGAATTCCTGGAATTTTCGTCATTTCTTGGAAATGACCAAATTTCTGAGAATCCAGTCACTTCTAGGAAGAGACCTCCTATCATGGAATTCTCGAGAACTGAAATTTTCGAAGACACTTCGGCCGAAAATCGACTTTCTAATAGGCGAACATGATATGACAGGAGGTCGATTCCTGGAAGTGACTCGATTCTCGGAAATTTGGTCATTTCCGGGAAGTGAGGAAAATTCCAGGAATTCTCGAGAACTGAAAGTTTCGAAGGCCCATCGGTCAATTCTTGGAATCGCCTCGATTCTTGGAAATTTCGTCATTTCCGAGAAATGACGTCATTTCCAGGAATTCTCGAGGACTTTAGCACGAGAAGGGTACTCTCACACCGAATTTCGATATCTTTTCATAATTTTCGTAGTTTTCGCTAGAATTTCGGGATTTTTTCGATTTTTTTTATATGTACGCGTTCCTGGTGGGTTCCCGGACTTTGTTTATATAATTTTGCAATGAAATATTGTTTAAACAATGAGTTATTTGCAATTGAATGTGAACAAAGT